TTACTTAATGCACACTTCAACTTTCCATAGTGGGCACAATACTGCAAAACTCACCTCTAGTGACCATGTCTTCATCCTTAGAACCTGTGAACAGGGCACATTGCAGGGCAAAAAAAAAGGACTTTGCGAATGTGATTAGGGTCCTTGGGTGGCACCAGCGATTTGCAACTGGCAGCTAACCTAAAAGTTGGCGGTTCAAACCACCTACCCAGTTGTACCACAGAAGAAAGGTCTGGTGATCTAGTCCCATAAAGGTGACAGCCAAGACAACCTTATGGATCAGCTCTACTTAACACAGCGGGCACCACGACTCAGTCAGAAATGACACAATAGCAGTAAATTTGGGTATTTTTGGTTACATGTGTTTGTTGTTGTTAAGTGCCATCGAGTCGGTTCCAACCCATAGCAACCCTGTACAGGGTTTCCGAGGCTGTAAATCTTTACGGGAGCAGAACGCCTCATCGTTCTCCCCTGGAGCAGCTGGTAGTTTCGAACCGCTGACCTTAAGTTTCGCAGCCCGATTCGTAACCACTATGCTACCAAAGCTCCTGTGAGTAAGGACTTTGAAATGGGGATTGTTTGGGTGGGCGTGGCCACGTTCACACACAGAACCCAGTTCCCAGCCAATCAACTGTAACTCATAGCCACCCCATGTGCTCATAGAACTGTGTGCCTTAGGATTCTCAATGACTGATTTGGGGGGGAAGTAGGTTGGCAAGCCTTTCTGCTGAGGTTTGCAGCTGAGTACTTAGATATTTTGTTCTAACCAGGACTCCTCTGTAACCACAGGGACCCTTAGAGGAGTTAGAAATGAAGATGTAAAGATTTTTGGACGTGTTATCAGGATGGACCAGTTCCTAGAGAAGGCCACCATGCTTGGTAAAATAGAGTCAGAAAAAGACAAAGACCTTCAATGAGACAGACTAACACAGTGAATGCATCAAGGGATTCAGACACAGCTACAATGGGGAGGCTGGCACAGGACGGGCAGTGTTTTGTTGTTAGACTGGGTCGCTATGAGGCAGAACCGACTTGAAGGCATCTAACAAACAAAATGTGAGAGACTCAAATTGTCAAAGCCAAAAAAACAAACAAAAAAACCCCCCATGTGACCATGGATACAGAGAAAGACTGGCTTTGATGATGAAGGTGAGCCCACAAGCAAAGGGATGCAGGTGGCCTAGAGATGCTGGAAAAGACAAGGGGACAGATTGTCCCCAAAGTCACCGAGATCTGTTGGTGCCTGGAGTTTCGCCCACTGAGACCCACATCTGATGCTGCCCCCCAGCACTGTAAGGCAATCAACAGTGTTGTTTAAATCCACTAACTCTCTGATCATTGTTACAGCAGGCATGAGAAACTAACACACCCTCCAAGGTAGGTACTTGTAGCAGGTCCTGTGGGTTGTTGTTAAGCGCCGTGGGGTCAGTTTTAACTCATAATGACCTATATAGTGTTTCCAATGCTTTTAAATCTTTTTGCAGGAGCAGAAAGCCTCATCTTTCTCTTGTGGAGTGGGTGGCTGGGCTTGAACTGCCAACCTTGTGGTTTGCAGTCCACTGCTTATCCTACCCAGCCCTTATTCCTTCCCCTTCAGTTCAAACTTCCCAGCATGCAGCTGGCGGCACCCATAAATCCTGGCCTAATAA